TGAGAAAAAAAGGGTCACTAATAACAAACAGACAAATGAAAAAGCACCCCCTTTTTCTCTTAGCTGGAGATTTTCAACATAAACCCTTGGGGCTTACTAGAGGGATCACCCTTGTAACTGATTTATCAACAATAGGGAACAACACATTTCATCCCAACAATAACAAAACCAAACCAGGTCACTGAGACAAGTGAAAACCCATAATAGCCTTTTTAATGGCCAATATATTTACCCCCCCCTTTTAAATCGGGGAAATAATCACAGATAGCATACAGACCACTCCCCCTACCTTCTCCTGAAAAAAATTAGAAAACCCACCATTTTAAATTTTAAAACCAAAGTCTTTTTTAGACTCCATGAGGGGGGGCCTCAAAAAGGGAAGTTCACGTGCCCTAAAAAAGAATTCCCCAAGGGCAATGGTTTGATGACGGGGACGGGAAAATTTTTTTTAAAACAAATTACTTTGGGCTATACAACAAACATTGTCCTTTTAAAAACCCAAAACAGATCACAAAAAAACGGTTTGGGTTTTGCCCATGGCTAACCGTACCATTCTGAAAATCCATTGCCCAAAGAAACACCAATATGAAAAGAATATGGGACAGGGCTTAATACCAAAGATATTCTAAACATATTAAATCAGTTTTTCCCCAAAAGAAATTAAGAAAGCCAAACAACTTTACTACCCCAGAAGATTAACGGGACATAGAGGAGATAAAAAAAAAGACCGGAAAAAACACTCTTCAGATTCTAGGGCCCACTAACTAAAAAAAAAAACCAAGAATATTGTCCCAAACAAAAAACCTAATAAAACCCCACTCCCATCCCACGGGACACAGTAACAAGAAAAAAAACGACTTTTTTCTCAACCATGGGGATCTAATCCCCCAAAAAAATCCCACATACCAAGGCCCACCCGGGGAATACCTAGAGGGGAATTTCCCAAATTCCTTCTTTCTTGCACCAACTAAAGCCCTGGGAAGTCACCGAAAATTATAAGTACTTAAAAAACAATCGGGGAAATTCTGTCAAAATGCCCCAAGCTTTTACTGTAAAAGCGGGGGGGCCCTTTATCCTTTCGCATGCTTTTTCATTTCTTTTTAAAGTCATGGGAAACTAGCATCTTCCCCGGGAAATTTACTAAAGAGGGAAAGGGGGTTTCCCACCAATACAAAAAGGTGGTGACCCTACAGACTTAAAAAATTTTATAGGCCAAATCAAATTTTCCATTGCTATCCAAAATCTTTGAGAAACTCGGGGCACAGGAGACTATTTTCTTTTATAACAAAAAAAAACTTACCCCAACCCCCTCCCAAATTTTGGGTTTCGGGAAAAAATAAAAGCACTAATGATGCTATAAAAAAAAATTGTTAAAATTGTTTACACCCCATTGAAAAAAAAGGAATTTTCCATTTGGGAAATTTTTTATTGCCTAAAAAAAAAGGCTTTTGACACAGGACCACAAATCCCTACTCCACAAACTTAAAACCTTTAAAGGTATAAAAAGGCCATGCGCTTGCTTTTTCAAATCTTCCCTTTACAAATTGGAAACAGAAATGTCACCTTTTTAAAGACCCCCAGCATCAACAAAACGGCCATTGATAGGGAGTTCCGCGGGGGAATTTGTCTTGGTCCCCTGTTTCTTCCTCATTTTACATCAATAAATCTTCCTAAACTTTATCCCCAACACTTGAAACCCCTTCTTTTGCTGCCCAAACACGACTTATGTCATTTTCTCCCCCTAATCTTCCCACCCCCAAAACACCATTGTTAATGAGGAGCTGATAAAAATATCGCCCCTTGGGAAATGACAAAAAATAAACTTACTTTTTAAACCACTGAAAAAAACCTACTTATTTGTTTGGTGCAGGAGGAGGGGCACAAATTAACTTTAAAGATTGACAAACACTAATTCCAGAAATAAGGGGGGGAAAATTTTCCTGGGCTTTATCCCTTTGACAACAACCTAAATTTTCGGGCCCCCATACCCCAGCATAAACCAAAAAAGTATCCCAAAAGGGTTTGGGGGATCCTCCCCAAGGGATACAAAAAATAATGCCGCAAAACCCCCTTCTCCCCAATATACCATCACTTATTTAATCCATACCTCACCTATGTTTATTTGTGTTGGGGATAAACTGCAGCAACACACCAAAAACCAATAATAACCCCAAAAAAAAGCTACAGAAAAGAATAATCATTAAATCCCACCCCCTGGAAACCCAAAACCCCCCCATCTTATAGACCTAAATTACTCCCATTTCAGTACACCCAACTATTACTGTGAAATTACACTACAGGGCCTTAAACTCAATATCAACCCTTTGCCTAAAATGCTTTTTGATAGTTGTGACAAAAACCCACAGGCAAACCCCGACACAAACTTTCTTCGACATTCCAGTGCCCGACTAAACCTTTAAAAAAATTTAAAATGTTGCAAAGGCCCTAAAATTAAAAACCCCTACCTGAGATCTAGAACTGCAGCAGACAATTCTCTTCTTCAAAAATACCATTAGAAAAAATTTATCCCCTGATACCCCCGTCAACTAACTACACGAATACCCCGGGTGGTTTCACCTTACACTCACTCATCTTTTTGCCCTTTAAAAAAAAATTTTAAACCTAAAATCTAAAATAAATGAATCCTGTAAAACTATTATGTGCCAAAACAAAGCATCACTTGCAAAACTCAAAAAATAGTATTTAGTCACTTCCCCATAATACCAACTTCCCTCATAATTTGTTATTTTACAATTTAAGAAAAAAAAACTAATTTGGGCCGAAACCCTAGCCATGTAAGCGTTCGTGGTAAACTCTGTAATCACAATTTTCTACATGTAACCACCAAAACCCAAATTTCTGTAAACTCAGCTTGAAACCCTTATAGAGAAAAAACTTTAAATTGAATTGATTAAATTGTTATTTATTTATCCTCTTTTCAAAAAAATTTGTTTCTTTATTCCCAAAATTTTTTCTACAATAGCTCAATTTAAAAGGTCCCCTTTTACTTTTACCCCTGGCACCCAAATTTACCTACTACCCCCTCCATAACATTTTTCCCCAAATTTGCATTGAAAATCCCCCCCACCATTATCTCAACTTGATTCAAATCCCCTTCACCAGCATTTCCCAAAAACTCTCTCTCCTCTACATTTTCTTCTCCGGTGCATACGCTTATTATAACCACTTTTACATCCAATCTTTATTTTACCCCAAAAAATCCCTTGAATTTAAAACATTTGTAGCCCCTTTTTCCGCCCTAGCATAGCTTATCCCTTTAACATTATTGTTTTCTCCTTCTTTAGTTCAATTATTTGAACCCCCGACAATCCATTTTTTCCTTCCATTGAAAATTCCCCCCCCCTTTAGCTTTGTTTCACTTAAAGCCAAAGGCATCAGTTTCTTTCATTCATAAAAATCCCAATCATCACTTTCTTATATTTGCACAAAATCCGACTTCCCACCTTGAAATTTTCTTTTCTTATTCTTTTTGTAAACTTTACGGAAAAGGGGTTACTAGCCCCTTGTTCCCAGCATTTTTTTGACTTTTACAACAGCATGGGGTTCGGAGGAAAAATTTTATTCACTTCCCATGGATATAAAAGGAAAAGTAATAAGACCAAAAAAATTTAAAATAAAAACAAAAAAAAAACCAGTGAGGTGATAAATAAAATGTGCATGTTTTGTGAGGGATGACCTAAGTGAAGTAGAAATAGCAAGACATCCCTTTTAAACTTGTATTTTTTTGAGAAGACAAAAGACAAGCTCCCCCATCATGTAAAACAATTAAGGGTTTGTTTTACACTCACTTGACAGGGCGGTAGTACTCCCCCGGGTGGTTGCGTCTACCAACCTGTACCTTAAAATTTAACTTGATATTTTGATAAAAAAAAACATATGTAACCCGTTAACCTTTTGGGGCCTTGTTTAGGCCTTTTGTGTATCCATATGCTTTGTGCTACTGTCCAGGTGGATAGGGGTGCACAATAAACTGCCCCTTTGGTGGGAAAAACTAAAATTCTAAAACCCCGGTGACTAAAGTGTCAAAACATGGACTAAGGTCATCAAGAGGAAAGAAGGGCTAATTTTTTTTCAGATGACCCCGGGGCTGTCCTAGGGGGGCAGTAAGGGGTGTGCCTGCCTATGTTTTGAAAAGGAGAGTGCTAAAAAAGTATATTTGTTTATCCCTGAATAATATATTTTTGTAATAGTGGTATAAAAAACCGTGAAGAGGGTGGGGGAAAGGATTTCGGACACTGAGGATGATCAATTGGAATGTAAATATTACCTTGCTGATAAGGGTTTATGTAAAAAAACTACCCCCCATAGAACATTAGTGAGCCCCCCCATCAAAGTTAAAAGGGCAACAAATAATATGGGGCTTGACGGGGGGAGTTTTTGATGCTAAAATAATAAAAAAAATTCTTTGAAATATATGTATGGTTGGGGGAAAACAGTTGCTGTTTTGGTGGAGAAGATTTTCCAAAGGGGGTTCAGTGGAAAGGGTTTTTTCTATTATTGGGAACAGGTTTGGTTATGGTAAGTGCTATGTGCATATTTTACATTCAACTTGTGGTATTTTTTGGCCTGTTTGGGAAAAATTTTCCAAATGATACATAAGAGGGAAGCAAGTGTTTAAGGATAAAATCTATGTCAGAGATGAGTTCAGACTTTTCAGGCTTCAGGGAGGAAGATAATAATCCATCAGTAAACATGCCTGGTAACAGTAACCTTGAGGGATCACCTACTCCAGGTGATATGGAAATAGAGAGGATGAGACTTAAATAGCTGTGCTAGAGGCTGAAATGAAATTAATGAATGGAAGTTGCTTCATGGATTATTTAAAATAAATCTGAACTATTGTACACCAGGATGCTTCATCTTTTGCAAGTATATTGCAACTCGATGAGCAATCACCCTCACATGATGAGTTCTGGAAATTTTGACTGTAGGTAGTCATACAAAATAATGAGAGGTGACAAAATATAGATGCTCCTCACTTTATGATGGTTTCTTCTCTTCTTCTTGAAGGTTTGCCGGTGATGTCCTGGCCGAGTCTTCTCCAGATGGTACCCAGAATACTAAAATGGTATAAAATACTGACAGGTTGGTCATGGACTGATTACATCACCTTCACATCTCTACTGCTTCTACGAACTTTTCTGTACTCAACTGAAGAAGCCTACTGTATAGGCAAAATGTTTCAGAATAAAGATACTTAACTGTTGCACGTGTGTCTTACTTACCAACCCGGAATACGATGGTTTGACCTACGATACTTCAACTTTGCAATGGTACTATCAAATTTTTTGTACTGTACATTTATTGATTGGATAAACTTGCATTCATTTATTTTTTCAATAGTGGTGTTGAGTTACAGTAATTACTTCATTTATTCAGTGACAGTTATTTATTTACATATTTATCATATATTCATATTAGACTTACAATTTTTTGAACTTACAATGAGTTCATCGGAACATAATCCCATTGTAAGCCAGGGAGCACCTGTACTCGTATATCTATTTGGAATGAAATCTGGTTAAATTTCACTACATAAGCACTGTATGATATATAATGGTTTAATTCTCAAAAGCATATAGTGGTCTCCCTCAACATTTGCGTTTTCAACTTTCGTGGGCTTCACACATTCGCGAATTCCCAACCGCCAAATTCCCAGCCGCCAAATCATACTTAAGTTTCCCGCCGCCTGCAAGTCCCTACTACCCTCCCTCTGACCCCCGCAACTGGCAGCCAGCCCTCCCACCAGTGTGGTAAGTGTTTTGTTTGTTCATTATTTGCTATTAAACTACAGTATAAATAATGTAAACCCATTCATGACTGCATATTGGAATGGCTATTCAGACAGGTATCGGACGGTGACATCAAATGTTTACTCTTGAGCACAGCAAAGAATCAAACATTTCTGCTACTGCTAATAATAACAATAGTAATAATAGTAATAATAATAATAATAATAATAATAATAATAATAATAATAATAATAAATACAATAGAATTGAAGAAGGAAATTGTACAAAAATACGAGGGAGTGGTTGAGGCATCGTCAGTGTGGCTTTGTTTATGCTGGAGTAAGCATTAGTCTCCCTGCTCTTCCAAACATTTCACAATAATTCACTGTGTTTGGTGCTTGTAGATTGAGTGTGACTGGAGTGGTAGAGGCAGTGGTTGAGGCAGTGGGTGAGGCAGCAGTTGAGGCAGCAGTTCGATTCAATTCAATTCAAATTCAAAGTTTATTCTCTATAAGGATTACAATGCTGAGCTTACAAAATTTGGTTATTGTGTGGTTTACATGTAGTAAAGTACTAATTACAGAGGGTGCCACTAGAACACCTAGCATGGCTAGGCATTTCAGGCAGACTTGGATTAATTCTTAAATTTAAAATATTACAAATTATGAGGTAAGTTGGTGTTATGGCTAAGTGACTAAATACTAGTTTGTGAGTTTAGCAATGTGAATGCTTTTGTTTTGGCACAATACATAGTTTCAGTATTGGAGTATCACAGGCCAACTTATGACTAGTTAAGATTCATTATTTTAAGATTGAGATTGATATTTCTGTTTATGGTCAAATGGGTGAGTGAGTGTAAGTGTGAACCACTAGGTGGTATTCGTGTAATTAGTTGACGGGGTGTATCAGGGAGATAAGATGTTTTCTAATGGTAGTTTTGAAGGTGATGAATGTGTCTGCAGTTCTAGAGTTTTCAGGTAGGGTGTTCCAGATTTTAGGGCCTTTGACATACATTGAATTTTTGTAAAGGTTTAGTCGGACACGGGGAATGTCATAGAAATGTTTGTGTCTAGTGTTATGCCTGTGGGTTCTGTTACAACTATCAAGAAAGCGTTTTAGGTCAAGGTTAATATTGGAATTTAAGGTCCTGTAGATGTAGATTACACAGTAGTAAGTGTGGATGTACTGAACAGGGAGTAAGTTTAGATCTATGAAGAGTGGGGGGATGTGTTGCCAGGGATGGGATTTAGTGATTATTCTTAAAGCAGCTTTTGTTGGGTTATTATTGGCTTTAGGTGTGTTGCTGCAGTTGATCCCCAAGCACAAATAGCATAGGTGAGGTATGGATAAGTAAGTGAGTGGTATAGTGTGAGAAGAGTATTTTGCGGCACGTAGTATCATATCTTGGAGAGGATCCCAACTGTTTTGGATACATTTTTGGTTATGTGTTGGATATGGGTGCTGAAATTCAGGTTGTTGTCGAGGTATAGGTCTAGGAATTTGCCCTCATTATGTCTGGCAATTAGAGTGTTGTCGATCTTAATGTTAATTTGCGCAAGTCCTGCTCTGCTACCAAACATAATATAGTAGGTTTTGTCAGTGTTAACCATAAGTTTATTGGCTGTCATCCAAGTTGATATTTTGATCAGCTCCTCATTAACAATGGTGTTGAGGGTGGCAAGATTAGGGTGAGAGATGACATTAGTCGTGTCGTCAGTAAAGAGAATTGGGTTCACGTGTTGGGATACGTTTGGAAGATCATTGATGTAAATGACGAAGAGCAGGGGACCAAGGACACTTCCCTGCGGAACTCCAGTTTCAAGTGGCCGTGTTGTTGATGCTGTGTCTTTAATGGTGACATACTGATACCCATTAATAAGGTAAGATTTTAAATATGCAAGCGTATGGCCTCTTATACCATAATGGTCAAGTTTGTGGAGTAGGATGCCGTGGTCTACTGTGTCAAAAGCTTTTCTTAGGTCAATAAAAATTCCTAGTGGATATTCCTTATTTTCCAATGCTGTGTAAAGCAGATCTAGCATTTTTATAATTGCATCATTACATAAGAACATAAGAAAAGAGGAACACTGCAGCAGGCCTGTTGGCCCATACTAGGCAAGTCCTTTACAATTAGTGCTTTTATTTTTCCTGAATCCAAATTGGCAGGGGTTGAGTATGTTTTGTGCCGTTATAAATGAAAATAGTCTCCTGTGCACGAGTTTCTCAAAGATTTTGGATAGCAATGGTAAGTTTGATATTGGCCTATAGTTGTTTAAATCTGTAGGGTCACCACCTTTATGTATTGGTGTAACCCTTGCCATCTTGAGTAGTTTCGGGAAGGTGCTAGTTTCAAGTGACTTGATAAAAAGTAATGAAATAGCATGCAAAAGGACATGGGCCACTCGCTTGTACAATAATGGTGGGGCATGAGAAAGATTCCCCGAGTTATTTTTAAGTGACTTTATAATCTTGGTGATTTCCGTGGGCTGAGTTGGAGCAAGATAGAAGGAATTTGGGAAATTCCCAGCTAGGTAGTCCCCGGCATGGGCACTGATACGTGAGATTTTATTGGCGAGATTAGATCCTATGGTTGAGAAGAAGTCATTTATCTTGTTAGCTGTGTCAGTTGAGGCAGTGGGTGAGGTAGTGGGTGAGGCAGTGGGTGAGGTAGTGGGTGAGGCAGTGGGTGAGGCAGCGGTTGAGACAGTGGTATTTAAAAACATATATGTTATTAATAATAATAATAATAATAATACACCTACCATCCGACTTACGACCGAGTTCGGTTCTGAGAAACCGGTCGTAAGTCGAAATGTTCGTAAGTCGAACTTTACTACTGAATATCAACAAAACATTTTTGTAATGACTTTATTTTATTGTTTTATTTTGGTATTTCATGTTTTACTTTACTTTTTATGCTGTTAGTACTGTATTTTATACTGTAAGGTTTAGGATAAACACTGTGTACAACACAAATAGTTGTTTTTTTCCCAGAAATTTGGCATAAAAAACACGGTCGTAAGTCGAGTGGTCGTAAGTCGAGCAGTTCTTATGTCGGATGTTAGGTATACATGTTGTTAATAATAATAATAATACACGTTATTAATAATACGTACTATTATTATTTATAACATATATGTTATTAAATGCCACTGCCTCAACTGCTCCCTCTACCATTGCCTCAACTGCTGCCTCACCCACTGCCTCACCCACTGCCTCAACTGCTGCCTCACCCACTGCCTCTACCACTGCCTCTACCACTGCCTCTACCACTGCCTCAACCACAGCCTCAAACACTGCCTCTACCACTCCAGTCACACTCAATCTACAAGCACCAAACACAGTGAATTGTGAAATGTTTGGAAGAGAAGGGAGACTACTGCTCACTCCAGCATAAACAAAGCCACACTGGCTGACGATGCCTGAACCACTCTCATATTTTTGTGCAATTTCCTTCTTCAGTTCTATCGTATTTATTATTATTATTATTATTATTATTATTATTATTATTATTATTACTATTATTATTATTACCATTGTTATTATTAGCAGTAAGAGAAATGTTTGATTCTTTGCTGTGCTCAAGAGTAAACATATGATGTCACCGTCCAATACCTGTCCGAATAGCCATTCCAATATGCAGTCATGAACGGGTTTGCATTATTTATACTGTAGTTTAATAGCAAATAATGAACAAACAAAATACTTACCACACTGGTGGGAGGGCTGGCTGCCAGTTGCGGGTGTCAGAGGGAGGGTAGTAGGGACTCGCAGTGGTTGAGGAAGTGGTGGAGGCAGTGGTATATAATAACATACACATTATTAAACCATAACATGTATGTATTTAGTACAATTTACGACGTTTTCATGTATTTTATGATTGTTCATGGTTCAACAAGTTAAGGAAGCAGTATTGTATTATATTTCCCTACAATATATTGGGGCACCAAACATTCGCGATTTTTCAACATTCGCGAGGCTATTGATCCCCTAACCCTCGCGAATGTTGAGGGAGACCTGTACAGTAATACTATTTCTGCAAACACAAAAGACAAGTGTTATTCAAGATAAAAGTAAATTAGGAAATTTAATAAATTATGTTAGGAGCTTTTAAAATTAGTTCATTAAACTTTTTTTTTTGTATGCTATTTTCATTCCTTTCAATAGACTTAATTGACAATTAGTACGAACACTGAAGAACTACCTTGTGTCCACGGTCACCTAGAGCCTCAGCAAGTGGCATGAAGAAATTCTTGTGGCTTGTAGTGGATACAGGTAGGAGCATAAGAATCTTGTACGACCTCTCTGGGGCAGCTAATTCTCCTGCCACTTGCCCCATCAGAGCAGCCAGCAATACATACATCATCGCTAACATCATGAACCACTGTGGGATATATTAATAATTCAAAAAAATAACTGTCAGTATTACTCACCTTTAGACATTTCACAAGAAAATTTTGTTACAAGACTGATTTGACTGCTGAGAACTCCATCTGATCTTTCAAAGTGTGAGTCATGAGAAAATTCCATAAAACTAAGCAGTAAATCTCTCAGTGATATGCTTACTATCCCCTGATTAGAAGCTGAAATTCTCATTATTACCATCACAGCCATGTGTGTGGCAGATGATGCCACCGAGGAATACCCACCCACATATATTAGGGATGGGACAATACCAAAAATTTTGCCGATACCAATACTAAAATTTTAGCCGATATCGTTGCTTTTCCTGTAGCTTTAATTTTTTAAATTATAATGACTATTAATTATACAAGCGGATGCACACTGCACAATAGATATTACATAACACAGGAGGCTTAAATATTATATAACATAATTTCTCTAAGATAATGTCATTACTCATGACATGATATGTTGTGCTAGTGTGTGTTACTCACCTAATTGCACTCGCCTAATTGTGGTTCCAGGGGTCGAGACTAAGCTCCTGGCCCTGCCTCTTCACTCATCACTACTAGGTCCTCTCTCTCCCTCTGCTCCCTGAGCTTTGCCATACTTCATCTTAAAGCTATGCATGGTTCCTGCCTCCACTACATCACTTGCTAGACTATTCCACTTCCTGACAACTCTGACTGAAGAAACACTTCCTAAGATCCCTGTGACTCGTCTGATTCTTCAGCTTCCAATTGTGACCCCTTGTTTCTGTGTCCCCACTCTGGAACATCCTGTCTCTGTCCACCTTGTCTATTCCACGCAGTATTTTGTATGTCGTTATCATGTCTCTCCTGACCCTCCTGTCCTCCAATGTCGTCAGGCCGATTTCCCTCAACCTTTCTTCGTAGGACATTCCCCTGAGCTCCAGGACTAACCTTGTTGCAAACCTTTGCACTTTCTCTAATTTCTTGATGTGTTTGACCAGGTGTGGGTTCCAAACTGGGGCTGCATACTCTAGTATGGGTCAGACATACACAGTGTCTTGAACGATTCCTTACTAAGGTATCGGAACGTTATTCTCAGGTTTGCCAGGTGCCCATATGCTGCAGCAGTTATCTGGTTGATGTGTGCTTCTGGAGACGTGCTCGGTGTTATGCTCACCTCAAGATCATTCTCCTTGAGTGAGGTTTACAGTCTTTGTCCACCTAGCCTATACTCTGTCTGCAGTCTTCTTTGCCCTTCCCCAATCTTCATGACTCTGCATTTGGCAGGGTTGAATTCGAGAAGTCAGTTGCAGGACCACGTGTCCAGCCTGTCCAGGTCTCTTTGAAGTCCTGCCTGATCCTCATCTGATTTAATTCTCCTCATTAACTTCACATCATCTGTGAACAGGGACACTTCTGAGTCTATCCTTTCCATCATGTCATTCACATATACCATAATAGCACTGGTCATAGGACTGACCCCTGTGGGACCCTGCTTGTCACAGGTGCCCACTATGATACCTCATCAAATGCCATGACTCATTGTTGCCTCCCTGTCAGGTATTCTCTAATCCATTGCAGTGCCCTTCCTGTTATACGTGCCTGATCCTGCAGCTTCTGTACTAATCTCTTGTGAGGAACTGTCAAAGGCCTTCCTGCAGTCCAGGAAAATGCAATCAACCCACCCCTCTCTCTTGTGTCTTACTTCTATTATACTTTGTCATAAACTCCAGAAGGTTTATGACACAGGATTTGCCTTCCATGAATCCGTGCTGGTTGTCATTTATAATCTTGTTCCATTCCAGGTGCTCCACCACTCTCCTCCTGATTAATCTTCTCCATGACTCTGCATACTATACATGTCAGTGACACTGGTCTGTAGTTTAGTGCCTCCTTTCTGTCTCCTTTCTTAAAAATGGGGGACTACATTTGCCCAGTTTCAGGGATGTGTTGAAGATTGTGGTTAGTGGTGCACACAGCATCTCTGCTCCATTACTAAGGACCCACAAGAGAGTTGTCCAGTCCCATCGCCTTTGAGGTATCAAGGTCACTTACCTTCTGCACCTCCTGCTCAGTTGTGTGTATGTCATCCAACACATGTTGGTATATTTCCCTGTTGGTGTTCCCTCTGTGCTGTCGTCCCAGAGCCTTCCTATCTCTAGTGTAAATACTTCCTTGAATCTCATGTTGAGCTCCTTACATACCTCTTGATCGTTCTTGCAAGTTCCCCACCTTCTTTCCTCAGCCTGATCACCTGGTCTTTGGTTGTTGTCTTCTTCCTAATGTGGCTAATAGCAGTTTCAGGTCAGACTTGATTTTGATGCTATGTTGTTTTCGTACTGTCACTGGGCCTCCCTCCTAATCTGTGCATACTCGTTTCTGGCTCTTCGACTAATCTCCTTATTTTCCAGGTTCTTTGCCTTCTGTACTTTTTCCATTCTCTAGTGCACTTAGTTTTTGTCTCTCTACACCTTCGGGTTTGTGTGTGTGTGTGTGTGTGTGTGTGTGTGTGTGTGTGTGTGTGTGTGTGTGTGTGTGTGTGTGTGTGTGTGTGTGTGTGTGTGTGTGTGTGTGTGCGTGCGTATGTGTGTGTGTGTACGCACGCGCGCATGTGTGTAATCACCTATATGTTGTTGCAGGGTTGAGTCTCAGCTCCTGGCCCACTTCTTCACTGACCACTACTGGGTCCTCTCTCTCCTGCTCCATACCTCATCTTAAAACTATGTATGGTTCCTACCTCCACTACATCACTTGCCAGACTATTCCACTTCTTGACAATTCTATGGCTGAAGAAATACTTCCTAACATCCCTCTGACTCATCGTAATCTTCAACTTCCAATTGTGACCCCTTGTTTCTGTGTCCCATCTCTTGAAATCCTGTCTCTGTCCACCTTATCTATTCCTCACAGTATTTTGTATGTCATTATCATGTCTCCCTAACCCTCCTGTCCTCCAGTGATGACAGGCCGATTTCGCTTAACCTTTCATTGTAGGACATTCCCTTTAGCTCTGGAACTAGCCTTGTTGCAAACCTTTGCACTTTCTCTAATCTACTGACGTGCTTGACCAGGTGTGGGTTCCAAACTGGTGATGCATACTCCAGTATGGGCCTGATGTAATGTGTAAAGAGTCTTGAACAATTCTTACTGAGGTATCAGAACACTATTCTCAGGATTGCCTGTGTATATGTATGTGTGTGTGTGTGTGTGTCAATGAGTGCATGGCCAATTAACAAGAACTCATTTAAAATTAAGCTCTTTCAAAAACTCTCTCTTATCTGTTTAACCCTTCGGAGTTTCGGACGTACTAGTACGGCTTACAGCAGGGGTTTTTTGAGTACTAGTACGCATTACATTCTAGCGCCGTCAAACCTCGCGGGAAAAGGCTGGTAAGGTCTAGATGTGAGAGAATGGGTCTGTGTGGTGGGGTGTGTGTGGTAGAAAAAAATCTGGGACCCAGTGGTACATTGTGGGAACACCATCTTTAGTAAAAAATTTGCCCATCATGCCTTGCGGTAAGAAGTTCCTCACTCCTGGGCGAAATTGGGACACTTATGTTCCCCAGTGACAGTTCTAATACAGATGGAGTGCCAGGGGAAGATGAGTTTCAAGGTTTTGGTGAGGGTTTGGCCAAAAATATGACTAAAATATCGGTAATAGTGAGGAAAACCCAGACGACCCTCAGCCTTCCACCTCTGGTGCTGGGCCGTCTTGTTCACGTTCAGTTGTACCAGAATCAAAGAGGAAACTCCTTTTTTTCCCAAACCCAGACTCAGATGTGAGCATTTGTGATGACAGTGATAGTGATTATGAACTACAAGCTCTTAAAAACTAGTTCCAGTAGTGATAGTGAAGTGCAATATTTCCCCGGTGAAGCGTCATTATATACAACGATGTATGCGCCTGGTATTTATGACTTTATGCTATTCCAAGGAAGAAGAGTACATCTCGGAGTACATCCCGTGGCTGTACAACAGGAACTGACAGTGAAAATGACGATGTTTACTGTTGCAATTGGGATGGAAAATGTGCATGGTGGTGGTCCCAGGCGTGAGGCACCAGCAGTGGGCCATGATGCCCCATGCCACTGCCACCCACGCTGCTGCCCCATGCTGCTGCCTCAGCTGATTCTACAACAAAGGCACCATCCCCCACCACCCACCACACCAGCCTCCATAACACAACCTCCACAACCACAACCTCCACAACCACAACCACCTTCATTGTCCAGTACCCACCAGCAGACCGCACTGGGTTGGCAGGAAGCTGTCAGTTTTGTTCCAAAAATCCCCACCAGTTTAATGACAGCCAAAGTGAAATACGGTCATGTTGTACATGGGAAAAAATTTGCCACTGAACTGGAATGTTTCGAATTATTCTTTGACGAACCCCTGATGGAAAGTATTGTCATGGAAAGAAAAACACATACTACGAGTACACCATGGAAAAACACAATACTTTCACCAAATCATGTCTACACCCGTGGGAAGAGACAACTGTGGCTGAGATGTATCTTTTCTTTGCCACAATAATGTTTATGCCACATGTGTAAAAAGCACAGAGTGAAATCATACTGGTCAACAGACCGCCTGATTGCAACCCCAGGTTTCAGTGATATAATGCCAGTGAATCTATTTGTGCTAATGTTCCGTATGCTTCACTTCTCAGACAAAACCAGGCCTGACAGAAACGACAGGTTATAAAGATTAGGCATGTGTTTGTGTATCTAAAAGAGAAATTCAATTTGTATTTTTAGCCCTTCAGGAAGCTTGTAATTTGATGAGTCTTTGGTTCTGTTCAAAGGAAGACTCTCTTTCAAGCAGTACATACCAAGCAAGAGGAAACGCTTTGGTATGAAGTTGTTTGTGCTTTGTGATTGTTACAGTGGTCTGGAAATTGGATATTATTGTGTACACTGGAAGTTATACATTGAAAAATACCAGGAAGTTATTGGGCATCTCTGGTGATGTGGTTAGAACAATGATGGAACCATATCTTGGTAAGGGGC